GTCATGGGAGGGGGCAATTAAAGGATGCTCTGCTCCCCCTCTCCCATGATACACTCTTGAGTCCATATAGCTGCCTGCACTCCAAGAAAGGGTACTTGTCTTTCTCATCCTGAAAGTGGCCAGGAGAATTTGTTTTTCTAAACCAAAGTGTGTCTCTCTTATCACTCCATCATTCTGCATATTCTCTTTGGCGATAATAATAATTACTATAATTTATATTGCGCCACCAGTCTGCACTGTACTTTATGGAGTACCAGGAATTTGTAATCCAAAATTCAGTATGGGCAGAGCATGTAAGTGGCCAACCCAAATTAAACTGAGATATTTGCAAAGCTCATTTCTTACTGGTGCTAGCGTTGTTTACTAGCCTGGTGTATGACTCATTCAGGCGTCTTAGTGGTAGAGGGAAATGGACCCGAGACTACAATTTGGCCTATCAGTGCTGCGAGGTAGGTTAGGCTGAGGGATGGTGACTGGCCCAAGATACTCTACTGAGTGTCATGGCTGAGTGGAGGACATTTGAAACTGGATCACTCAATCCTGAGTCTTGACATTCCCAGCTCTGTATTTCAGCATTTGCTTAGTCACCAAAGGTGACAAGACATTCTGTGTAGGTGAGTACATGGAATTCTATGCAGGCAAGCGAGTGAGCTGGTGGAAGAGAGACAGATTGCTCCCACCAGCCGGTTTGGTTGTCATATTGGAAGCGAAGCTCCTTCTTTCTTGGCCAGCATGGTCAAATGGTGGACTGCTAGAACGCAGAGGGAAGGACCGCTCCATTTCTTCTCTGGCATGCTAGCACAAGCCCCTTCCACTTCAACCAGCCTCAAACGCAAATGAGCTGGCAGCAGAAAGGCATTGTCATCCATCTTTTCTTTGCCAGTCCACTTGGTAGACATTTTGGTTGTTGTTTTTGATAGCCTTCGAAGAGAGCTGGCCTTGTGTACAAGGCTGCTTTAACCACTTCTACCTCGCCAGAAAGGCAGGCAGGCAGAGGCAGAAGTTTTTAACTTGCCACAGGCTATTTAAAGCTAATGAGCTCCTCAGTCAAGGTCAGTGGGTGGAGACAAGGGTGGAGTCTCTGAGGTTGTGGGAGGAGCCCTGACACGCACCATTGTTATTTTTGACGCTCTGGAATTCCTCATTGTGAACAGGCTTATAAAAAGGTTGTAGATCTCGTTTCTGTTTTCTTTGTGTATCTACTGAAGGGAGGGAGGATTAGAAGAAAAAGAAAACATGCCCCTATCCTTTCCAGCGCTGTTAAAGTAAAGAAAGAAAGAAATGCAATTCCTCAAGGGGAAAAGGTAAAGAAGAAGTAGCACCTGGAAAAAAGATAGTTGGGTTTGCAAAACTGTGTTGTGCTGCTGGAATATGACAACGACAACGACAAAACACACACAGAGAGAAAAATAGGAAGGACCGTGGGGGTGGGGAGCCTTTGCTTCATGCATATGGAGGTTTTTTTGCTGGAAAAAATGGTATTTTAATGCTTTCTATTAAATTGGGACTAAAAGTGGTGTCTTAATTTGCATGCATTAGCATATTTGCATATAGATCACTGAAATGGTGGATGAGCAAAGAGCCTATAAATGAAAAATCTTTTAAAGGCGCAGGCTCCTCATTTTTTAAATATATTTTGTTAAGGTATCAAAAAAGCCTAGCATTGCTCTATTTTCCTGCCAACCTTCTATTCCTTTTTCTTGAGGGGGTGGGAGAAACTCATCTCCTTCCCTTGCTTGGTTGGATTTGTGCATGATTTTTCTTTAAAAAAAAAGAAAAAAGTAAAAGACTGTTTAGATGCATGTTTCACGAGGCATTGTGGAAAAGACAGATCTTTTTCAAAAGCTCATATGATGAAAGAATTTCAGTCACTTCGTATAAGCCAGAAAGAATTGCCTTGCACAGCCAAACTACCCGTTTGCATAGTTCCACCTGGGTGTCAAAGAGAAGACCTTGTCTGACAAGGTGGCCTGAAACTCTTTTAAATAAATAAAAATTGTGAGAGTTTCCCAAGCTTAGCTGAACGCTATCTATATCTATCTATCTATCTATCTATCTATCTATCTATCTAATTTGTAGTATATAGGGAGACACTGGGGATTAAAGTATATTGCACTTCTTTCATACCCTTAAAGTCTAGAAACTTTATACTTCAGATAAATCTCTGATTAGTTTGCCTAACTCTGGCAGTGGGCTATGCACAGCAATGCATTTGGCTAAGTGGGTATCCTGTGGGGTGATTGAAAAAGGGCAGAGGTAAAGGATGTAGCCTCGTTTCTCGTCACAGGACCAATTTATGGCAATCTAGCTGCAGGCCAGTCATCTGCACCCAAGGTTTAAGTCATATGCATGCTTAACCTCCAAGTGCGTCTCATTTAGCTCAGCACGGCTCTGAATTGGGGAGGGGCTCATAGGTCGAGCACCTGCTTTGCATGCAGAAGGTCCCAGGTTCGACCCCCAGCACCTCCTGTCTGTTAAAAAGATCTCAGGTGCCAGGTGATGGGGAAGACCCTGTACCCACAGAGCTGCTTCAGGTCAAGAGTAGACAGTGCTGCTGACCTAGATAGACTCAATGACCGGTTTCAGAGTATGGGAGCCTCCTGTGTACATCTGAGCAGGCATGGGAAGGATTACGCTGTAAGCCGGTGAGTGAAAATAAATAAATCTTGGGGCTTAGCTGCTCTGCCCCTCTTGAAAAGATTGCCCTTGACTCTAGTGAGGGGGAAGAACTCTGCACACAGCCAGAGGCCCTCTCCCTTTTTATTGCTTCATGCTGAATTCCTGAGAGTGGGGCTCTACGTGGGGCTACCTTTGAAGGTAACCCGGAAACTGCAATTAATCCAGAATGCGGCAGCTAGACTGGTGACTGGGAGTGGCCGCCAGGACCACATAACACCGTTCCTGAGAGATCTGCATTGGCTCCCAGTACGTTTCCGAGCACAATTCAAAGTGTTGGTGCTCACCTTTAAAGCCCTAAACGGCCTCGGTCCTGTATACCTGAAGGAGCGTCTCCACCGCCATCATTCAGCCCGGACACTGAGATCCAGCACCGAGGGCCTTCTGGCGGTTCCCTCATTGCGAGAAGTGAGGTTACAGGGAACCAGACAGAGGGCCTTCTCGGTAGTGGCGCCCACCCTGTGGAACACCCTCCCTTCAGATGTGAAGGAAATAAGCAGTTATCCTATCTCTAAAAGACATCTGAAGGCAGCCCTGTTTAGGGAAGTTTTTAATATTTAATGCTGTATTGTTTTTAACATTTGATTGGGAGCCGCCCAGAGTGGCTGGGGAAACTTAGCCACTTTGCCACATGGGTGGGATATAAGTAATAAATTATTATTAGTAGTAGTAGTAGTATTAGTATTAGTATTATTGAGTTGCTTCCCAGGCTGCGGAGTTCTGTCCCAGATTCAGTCCCCAGAAACCAAGGCTAGCCCTCTCCAAAGCATCATCTTGGCAATATCTACCCAGTATATTGACCTGAAAGGTTGGCTGCAGTGCGGGGGGGGGGGGGGCAGGGGCACACTCCTCCTCTTGCTGGGTGCTTTGAAACTCAGTGGGTGCGGTTAATGGCTTCATGTTTTGGGATGAATGAAAAAGTTGAGTGCTGGGCAAGGGGAGGAGCCCGTGCATCACTGCTAATGAAGATCGGAAGCCGATTGAACGGTGCAAGGTGCTCAGCCATCAGGTTGTGGAAACAAAGGGTGGGTGGGGGGCAGGGAATGGGGCGGGGAGGGGGCTAATGGAAGCTGTTTTCAGTCGAAGCGGATGTCGTATTGATTGCCGCGTGTCTATATTTATATATATGATCGAGTGTATAAACTTCAGCAGATGTACGGCGCATAGATAAATAAAATGCATACTGAAAAATTAATGAAATGGGCACGCAAATCCACCACCATCGATCATGACGGCTGCCTGAACCGCGGGGGCATTTCTTCTCCTTTTTCCACTTTCACGTAAGCTTTTTATGGTTGTTTTTTTTAAGCATGAAGAAAGTTGCAATGGAGGAAACAAGGAACAAAAAGTAGAACCCACTGCGTCTTGAGAAACTTCTCAGGATGGGACTGCCTGAACTTTGCAATTTAAAGACCATCCCCAGTGCTGGCAAAAATGAAATATCGGTGGGGTGTTTGTCAGTTGGGGGCCTTCCGGAGTCCTTTAAGCGGGAGATCTTTCCCTACCCTCGATCTCCTCGAGGGTGGATTTTAAGCAAGCAAAGCACAGCACACTTTGACCAGAATCAGTGCAGTTTGAACATGCTGCAAAGAATGTCTGACTTCTTCTGACCACTCTCTCTGGATTGTGGGGCTGCAGGAGTGAGCCAAAACACCCAGAGAAAGTTTAAAAAGGTGGGTCAGACTAAAGGCCCATCTATTCCAGCAACAATCCCACGGTGGCCGGTCAGGTGGCTCAGGGATGTCCACAGGCAGGGCATGAAGGCAAGAGTTCTCCCTTACTTTTGTTCATAAGATGCTGGTTTCAGCTAAAGGCCCATCTAGGAAGGCATTCCATTTTAGGGGGTGAAACGTAATTTTTGCAAATTTCTTCAGTAAGGGATCAGCTATTATTTTTGTGATTGGACAGCACATTTGGACAGTCTTGGGTAGTCTTGGATAGTCTTGGATAGTCTACATTTGATGTAGAAACACATAAACTGCTTTTGGAAAACCAACGAATATTAATTTTACCTTCTGAAAATGTCAGGTAATGCTAAATAATAATAATGATAATGCTAATAAATAAAAAATAAGATTAACATATTACTGCAACTACTTGCCAATCATTTTTAATGATTTCTGTGCAATTTTACACACATCATACCTACCAAGCAAAACTAAAATCATGTAAATTTAAACAAAATATCTTTTGAATTCCCAAGCCTTGTTATAACTTTTTAGCACCCCTCATTTTTTGAATTTGAAAGTTGGGAAATTCAATACACCTTACCCATCTAGTCCAGCATCCTGTTCTTACAGTAGCCCACCAGATGCCGATCAGATGTCCCAGGTGGGATAGCTCAGTCAGTAGTGCGTGAGACTCTTAGTCTCTGGTTCATGGGTTTGAGCCCCATTCTGGGCAAAAGATTCCTGCATTGCAGATGATTGGACTAGAATAGATGATCCTTGTGGTCCCTTCCAACTCTAAGGTAAAGGTAAAGGGACCCCTGACCATTAGGTCCAGTCGTGACCGACTCTGAGGTTGCGGCGCTCATCTTGCTTGGCCGAGGGAGCCGGCGTACAGCTTCCGGGTCATGTGGCCAGCATGACTAAGCCGCTTCTGGCGAACCAGAGCAGCGCACGGAAACGCCGTTTACCTTCCCGCCGGAGCGGTACCTATTTATCCACTTGCACTTTGACATGCTTTCGAACTGCTAGGTTGGCAGGAGCAGGGACTGAGCAATGGGAGCGCACCCCATCGCGAGGATTCGAACCGCCGACCTTCTGATCGGCAAGTCCTAGGCTCTGTGGTTTAACCCACAACGCCACCCGCGTCCCCTTCCAACTCTACAGTTCCGTAATTCTAGTCATGTGGCAAAGTTCTTCCTTTTGACTGTCCTGCATTTCCCACCATTCAACATCATTGAATGGTCCCGGGTTCTAGTATTATGAGGAGAGAAGGAAACCTCTCCCTTTTCACTCTCTCCACACTGTGCATTGTTTTATGCACCTCTGCCATGTCGTCTCCATACAATTAAAAAAACAAACCTAAAAAGCCTGAGCATTGTAACCTTTCCTTTAGGAGAGTTGCTCCAGCCCCAATGTCTCTATCCTTTAGCGCAGGCAGGAAGTGGAAAGGGGTGCCTGGCAGAAAATGTTACAGCACCATTACAAATGCTACTGCTCCCAGTTTTGTGTTTGGGGAATCAGCGTGTTAAACCTTGCACAATGGTAAGCTCCTAGTTCAAATATGCCCCCTACAATGAAATCCCATTGTTGTTGTTGTTGTTAATTTATATATCGCACATCTGACTGGGTTGCCCCAGTTATGAGGGAAATAAGTGATCTACCTTACAGGATAGTTTTAAGGATTACTTGCAAGTTAATGTATGTGTTGCACTTGGAAAGCATAGTGTAGTTGCTGATTATTACTTCCTGGTAACATCTTGGTTTCTATTATCTAAGTTTGTTCTTTAAGTCAAAGTTTTTGTTTCTTGATTGTGTTATACTGTTGGTTAAAATGAAATGGTTATTGATACTGCATATCCTGAGCCGCTTTGAGTGCAGATGTCTCTGGAGAAAGAAGCAAATAAATATTAAATTCCCTCTCCACAGAGGTCCATCAGGCACCTTCATTGTACAGCATTCATCATATGCTAAAAATGCACCTCTTTACCCTGTTTGACTATCTATCTATCTATACATCTATCTATCTTTCTATCTGAAAGAGAGAGAGAGACTAGTTGTTACTGTAATTTGTTTTTAATGCTGTATTTTATATTGTTGTAACCTTCTGGTGAAGAGCTGTGGTAATGGTAATAATAATAATAAGAAGAAGAATCATCTAAGAAAGAGTTGGCAAAAGAATAAATTCAGGAGTGGTGTTAGAAAAGAGTAAGTAAACATAGCAGTAATACTGTATCAGACTATCGCAAAGTCAACGGATCTGTTCCCCTTTTAGAATTTGTAACTTTTGAGAAGGCAAGGGCATTTTAGCCCGTGATGGCTAGCGCTATCAAATCTGAAGGAGGCGCGAGACAGAAGGAATGGCATGTCCTGTGAGCAACATGCTGAAATGGTCTGTCTTGTGTCTGGTGGCTGGGGCCCGAGATTCAGAGGCAGTCCTAGGGAAACGGACCTGCGTGCCCTTTGCAAATCCCAGCTCCCATGGGAGAGGGAGGGACGGTGTCGCATAATACACACCATAACAGCTTTATTTTTAGTTCTCTCCCCCCCCTTGTTGTTAATTGTGCCTCCATTGTGAAGGAGCAATGCTCCTGTGTTCCATAAGGGTCACCGAGAGTTTAATAGAGCAGCCAATGGCTCCTTGTTGGGGGCAGCCGCTGACCTCCTCCCCGGGTCCTGTGGAATCTCTGAAACGCACAGGGCTTTTTGCTATGCTGCGTTTGCCTTGTTCCTGACGGCTGTGTCAGAAACTGGCACCTGTGCAATTTTTTTCTGGGCAGATCACGTGAGCACGTAGGGTGCTTGCTTGTGGATACGTTCTGCAAGAATCTGGCTGGTTTCCAGTTCTGACGTGCTGGTTTCCCATACACATGCCCTACATGGGGAGAAATGTGGCACAGTCTCACCACACAAATGCTTCTGAAAGGAAGAGTTTTGGATCCTAACTGTGTGTGTCACCAGAAGACGTAGTGGGGTCCATTAAAAAATAAATGGTTCTGTCATATAATGGCACCATTTCAAAATGGGCTACTTTTCTAGAGGCAAACCTTTCCCTCGCTTTCATTTGCTGCCTTATTTTATCCCGTTTTTGTCATGCCACTTCAACGAGGTCATCCAAATCATGCCATATAATTTTCTGATCCTCATATGCATCGACAATTCCTTCCATTTTTGTGTCGTCAGCAGATTTCAGCAGCTTCCTGTTTACACTCCTCCTCCCTTCTCCAAGGTCACTAATGAAAGTATGGGGAGAAAAACCATTCTCCTGGTGTAATCCTTGAAGAACTCTACTGTTTTAACCTTTGAGCAAGTCAAATATTTGTCCTTGTTCAGAGCTTCTTTATCTTCATTTCTAACTACAATAGTTATTTACTTCTCTTTTTTTACTGTTGGTATTAATTACTTTAATAAGTAACCTCCCTCCCGTTCTTGCTTTATATTGAGTTTTCCAGGTTTATGTGTGGTATGCTTTTTTAAAAAAATGTGCATTTTGTAGCCTCTGAGCCCAGGGCCCACGCTTCCAAAGCTGTGTTTGCCAAAGCCAGTAGTATAATTTTTGCAAAAGCCATTTTCTGTTAACAGTATCCACTGAGCAATCTGCATATTGCAGTGTCTGAAGTTTCATTGCAAAGGGTAGCAGTTCTTATCATGCTTTCCTGAAGTTCTGTGGAACTCAATGGGGCTTGATTGTGGAAGAGTTCACTGTCAAAAGCCAATCAGTGTAAAACACAGAACCCCTGAAACAAGACAGCAGGGAGGTCTTTGCTCGGTGTTCCAGAGATGCCTAGAGAAGAAAAAAAGCAAAGGCGTCTTTAGGCTTTGGGCACCACCCCAGAAAAAGCCCTCTCTTCAGGAGCCAGTTCCCAGACCTCAGAAAATGAAAGTGCCCAGAGAAGGCCTCTCAGGAGGATCTCAACAGACAGGGAAGAGCATAGAAAGCTGCCATTGGTCCATCTAGTTAAGTATTGCCACCACTGACTGGCAGCAGCCCTACCGGGCTTCAGCCCTACCTGGAGATGCCATTGGAAATTGAACCTGTGGCCTTGTGCATGCAAATAGTTCATGCACCATTGCTAGGTCCATGCAGGAGAAGGCACTTCTTTTAGGTAATTGCAATAAAGCATGGCTTAAAGCTTTGGCAAATTCCTCAAGAAAAGCTTAGAGACTATTCTAAAGGCTAAGAGGGCTGTGGGTAGCAGGTCCTCTCTGGGCACCGAGAAGGCATTAGATCTCAGTGCTACCTGTTGGGCTGTTTCCAAAGCAGTTGTTTGAAACATTTAAACGTACAGAATTTTCGCAGTAATGTCAAAATCCTGATTTAGGCATTTATGAGCCTGCAGGACCTTAAGACTTTGGGGGATCTTAAAGCACACGGAGGGAGTAATGGGAGGAGGAGGTGACCCTTTATGCAGGCAGGATGCTGGCTTTCCAGGTTTAAACCACCACTTTGAATTGTGCCCAGACCCCAACTGCTAGCAACCAGTGCAGCTCTTTTAAGCATGAATGTAATATAGTGCCGGTGAGGAATTTGATGCAAACACGCAATGGTGCATGTTTGCTCAGAAGGGAGTCCTACTGTGTTCAGTGGTGCTTACTCCCAGGTAAGCAAGTGCAGAGTTGCCACTTCAGCACCATCTCTTATCAAGGACGAATGGTGTTGCCACCGAATTGTGGCTATTTGGCAGGGAAGCTTGGCCTGCTCCATCCTAATTTCCAGCGCCACAAAGGCCACTCACAACTTCAGGGTCTGATATATTGGAGGAATGTGGGCTGGACGTCTCTGCAAGGCCACTGTGGAGGAACCGTTGGCCCTGCGGATGTTGCTGAACTACAATTCCCGCCAGCCCCAGCAAGCACATGCCCAGGGGCGCTGGGAGTTGCAGTTCAGCACTACCTGGAAAGTCAAAGGTTCCCCATGCCTGCTTTAAAGGACTGTTCCTGTGATGGATGCTTCCACACCAAGACTGAGGGTGATGGCCTTGCTTTGGAGAAGAGCTAGGCCTTTGGCCTCCTACACCGGACCAAACAGTGCCTATTTTTCGGCGCTGCCGTTAGATTCTCTGGAAGTAGAAACTTTGGGAGCCCCAAGGTAGCAAGGTCAAGAAAATACGCAAAACGAGCGCCGAGGAGACGGTGCTGTGCGCTGTGCTGTCTTTGATACTTTCTCCTTCTCCTGCTTCTCCAGCGTCCCCCCCCCCTTCCCCATCTTTCTCCCGGTGTTTCCAAGAGACTCTTGTCGGCTTGAAAAGCTGTGTAGGCCCACGGCGGCTCAACCTTTTCCTCTCCCCGAGCCCCGGTCTAATCAACCCCTATAATTTATGCAGAAAATATGATTTATATTTAATTTCACCACACTTGCATTGTTAATTTGAGATGTAATTAACCCGTCGCTATGACAACTAATTTCGTGATGCCGTAAATTACCACCGTCTTTTCATCAAAATTCAGTTAGTTTGGCTCCTGTGTGCAATGTACTGATGCAATTAGGTTGCTCAGGGCAACCCAAAAGTCTTCCAATTTCTTTTGTGTAGCTGCAGTGGGGCAGAAGGCTTTTTCTGGTGCCGTTATCCCAAAGTCCTGTTTTCTTTTCTTTGGGAAAGGGAGCTGGGGCGCACTGCGAGAGTCTCCGTCTCAGAGGAAAGTGTGCAGCGACAGAGAGAGAGAGAGGGCCCTCTCCCTGAATCTCCCTCTTGCTCTCTCCTCACCTCCCTCCTAGCTTGCTGGCTTCTGTAATTG